CAGTATTGGGAAGTGAGAACCAGCAAACACAATCCTAGTGTCTGTTTCTGTCGTCAGGTTTTGAATTGGAATTTTTGGATTCATACCGAAGGTCCATTTCAATTTCTTATAAATAAAAATCAAACTCAAATGTTTATTCGAAAATGGTAGGCGCTAGGTACAATAAAAGTGGCGTCAAGTAGGTTAACTCCGCACTTTCCACGCAACGCTGGCATCAGTTCGTAAAGGATTATGTTATATGTATTAACGGACCCATATACATACTCCATAGTCCCCATCGATTTGTTAACGCTAGTTTCTTCCCTGCTCTAAGTACCGATCATATGGCAACGCTGCTGGTCCACAGTAGTCAAACACGTCATAAGCGCCAGCCAAGATACTATAACATAACATCCCTGTTGGCGATGCTGTCAGATTCAAGGCAGGGTTCGGCGTAGGGAAGTCACCGTCGCGTCGCATCGCCCCTACCGACCGTATGTCGTGTCTATAAATATCCCTGTAAGGGCAAATGTACGGGGGAATCTAATCAGTGCATACAATTATTGGAGCTGGAAACGTATAAATATTGTGCCATCAATAAAATAAAATGTACCTTCCTCCACCCCCTACAGCACCAAACCCCCAATTTTTATCCCCTACACATTTTTTCAGGAGTCTCTGAAACGTTAAAAAGCGAAGTTTGGCCGATTTTTATTTTTTTGTGTCTTTGTCCCTAGCTCCACCGCCACTGGATCTTTTGTCAAAAGATACTAAGCTTTCTTCTTCCAGATACCTTACGAACACTGTTCGGTACATTGACCATCAAGACGCGGCCTAACGCTCATCCGCTTTCGTTGTATGACCGAGTTCTACCAAAGAGCCGTTAATTTCGGCTGGTCGGAGTCCAGATCACCGAGGATGCGGTACAAATACATCTCGTTAATAACAGCAGCTGGTGGGAAACAGCTAGGCTCTTTGTTTAGAGCTAAGAAGTACCTTTCTACTCACAATCTTATCACTCTGTACAAAGCCCCGATAAAAGCTAGCCTCGAGTACTGCTCACATGTTTGGGGTGCTGCCACCCCGAATACATACAGGCTCCTTTTTCCCTAGCGGGTATCGAGATTGAGAACAATCTACCTAAAGAGGCCTTTCCCAGTTCTACCAATCCTAGGTTCAAATTAACAAAGTGTATTTAAGCTCCTCACAACTACCGCGTAGCGCCGTTATTTGAGGTTCTGCCTAAGCGGCTGTTTCGGGTCCGGGTTCTGTAAATGTTAGCTGATGTGCACCAAAACACTACCGCACTACCTGTACAAAGCAATAAAAAGTGTGGTACTTCGGACACGAAGCAACCCTTTGTCGAGGCCAAGCCCCTAAAAAAAATTTACTCTCAATTCTTTTGCAGGAAATAACTAATTTGACCGGACTACTTTGAACTATACAGTAACTTTGATCAGTTCATGTAACACCTAGTATTTTTGGTTTTTGCATTAACTTACAAAAGGAGTTGTTTTAGCGATGATTTCAGGTTCATCGAAAAGTTGCGGTCCAAGTCTTTGTTGGTAATCTTTCAATATTCTATGATCCGAGCCCAAGTTATCCACTGTATTCGACTCTTGAGAACCGATCGATTCTTTCCATACATTGTAGTCATGTTCCTCTTCCAATGAAAATTCTTCAAAATGGATCTTTTTAGCTATGTATAGCAAATTTTCTTTGTCCTCTTTATGGGTGATACTCTCGTCAGACATTTTTTCTGGCTTATTATTCGCTGGTTTACGTGACCTCGAAATATGGATGAATAATATCTACTTTCAATGACACTGTCAAGATAACATGAAGCTTCAAAACTTTTTAAAACGGTTAAGTAGGCGGCAAGGAAGACTTAAGTTTTTTTTATAGATCCTCCTCTATGTTACCTAATCCAAAAAGGATATACATAGGTCATTGTCTGTTCTTGGATAATGTATATAGTTCAGTAGACCTATCAGGTCTGGTTGATTAGATACAAGACAAAGTCAGGGAGCTAATAGGAAAAAGGAAGACAGGGAGGAAGAAACAGGAATCGCACGATTTAATTTTGTTCACAGTGCGAACCATACTCTTGTGTGCTTGCGAACTTGTGTAGTCTACTAACTCACGCATTAAAGTGTTGTTCTGTTCTTTGATATTGTCCCTTAGTTACAAGATGTTAAGGTTTCTAGAGTTTCTGTGATTGTTGATCTAATAAGGATCTCGTATAGCCGAACTTTGTTGATCCAACTGATTTTTGAAATTCTCCGAACATACATATGAGGTAGAATTACTGAAACGTTCAGAGTGCTTCTGCCAGGTCATCTGGGGGTCATCCTCTTGTCAAGAGTAAAACCAAAATACACTTGGCAGCATTTTCCCAAGGTACGTGAGCTCCGTTCACTGAAACCTCAGACGGGGCGCCGTTATGTTTTTACTTCCTACGTCACTGGGCGAGGAACTATTGTCATGGCGAAACATTTCGAAAATGAGCTATTTTGTTTTTTTTGTGTTACATCACGAAAAAACATGTCACTCATTTCCGTCCGCTCATCCTTGGCCCATCTATAACTTGAGAAGTAGCGCTGGAATTTTGATGAAATATTCATACAAGGTTGGTACTATGCCAAGCAGAAAAAAGCTTTTTAGTTTTTGGAAATCTCTCCAGTGGCAGCGAAAAAAAGCAAAAAAAGAAGGAAATAAAAATTGCTCAATCTTCGTTTTTCGTCGTCTCGCAGGGTTATTACGTAAAAAACCTACATTATGTCAAAAAAAAAATGATAAATGTCACCTTGTTGACTGAGTAAGTTAGTGTGAAATAGTTCATTCCGCGCTTGTTACAAGTGTACATGAAGTGAACAACAGATAGTTCCAAGTTAACGTCTTTTGGGAAAACCTACATCTTGTCATAAAAAACCTACATAATGTCAAAAATAAAAAAAACACATAATGACACATTTACGTAATACCCCTGCCGATCATTTCCGGGAAAATATTTTGTAGGCTTGAAATTCAAGGGTTGGGAAAGGAATTATGAAAATCTTTTGATCCAAAGTATCTTTATACGCTCTCAACCCCGGTAATTCTATGCAACTAATAGCCCTATTTTACACATCATAGATTTCTCCGTACATTTGCTATTATTATTATATATTGCGTACTCCTGCTGTCTAAGCTCACCGCCTGGCGAACCGGTCCGACTGACTAATCTATCCGTACTGCAGCGCAAGAAACAAATACACGGACCAAGCACGACATAAACGATAACTCGTTGCAGCGATGCCGCGCTATGCGCGGCCGTGCAGATGTGGAAAGGGCCAATATTGCCAGATGGACAGTAACTACCGATAAGGCAGGGAAATGATGTCTATGGACTAATTGTATGGGCCTGATTGGCCGACTTAATCCGTTTAATCTCCTATGGAAAAATGTCCGTAGCTTCTTTAAGAACTGATGACGACGTTGCGTAGCAAGAGCAGAGTCAACCTACTCGACGCCATGTTTTAATACAGTAAAAAGTTTACGTTTTTGAATGATTAACTTTGACCAGCCACCGCTCTCTGCAACAAGGCATTATTAATTTCGTGACATCCAAAAGAAATAGAGTTTCATTCAGGCCTAGGAAACTTTTGAAATCCTTCCTGCATACAGGAAACCGATCAAAATTAATTTTGTTCTATTACACATGTCCACAAAAAAGTGATGTCCTAGATGACCAATCATATTTTTCCAACTGAACACGAATCTGTAGGCAGAATTGGAGGCCGATGGACAAGTTTTGGAGAAAATCGATAAAAGCGATGAAAATCATAATCCACCGATTTTTAATATGAAATATAATTATTACTTATTCCTCGTCTCATCACGGCTATCTTTGCCAGAAGCTTTTCCTTTAATGCCGTTGAGTTGCACAACGCCTTGCAAGATGACCTTAAAAACCTATCACTTAGCAACTTTAAAAAAAGATTGACGTTCTTGCTGAACATTTAGTTGATGTCTTAGTTACTCAGTCCCTGGCTATGAATTAGGCTTATGACATGGTTTATCCTGCTTTGTAATGTTTATTTACTTTAATTTTCGTTGAAACATTTCTCATTCAAATTTATAAAATATCATTAGATTACTAACATTTATATTTTTCTTTTTGTACATTATGGAGTGTACTTGTGCAAATGTTTAATCTTGATGTTTTTTACCTGGGTGAAGTTGAAAAACAGCTATACTGACACCTGTGCTACACTGTACTGTATAAATAAAGTCCTGTTAGTATTATTATATTGTTCGTCGTTTCCGCCTACGTTTGTCGCCGATGGTTCTGTGTAATGGAATTCTGCTTCGTTTTTGGTTTTGTTCCTCTTTGTAATCTCCCCTCACGCCTGCTTCAATATAAAGATTTGAACATAAACGTTGAACGTGCATTTTGCATCAGAGGTGCACTTCGACCAAAAATACACATATCTATAACCTTGATATCAAAGTTATTTCATATTTATCTCAATTCTGACTGCAGATTCATGTTCAGCAGGACAAAATAAAAGGAAAAATATAATGGAACCACCAGCACATACATTTTTGTTTTGTGGTTCTGTGTTATCTGTGTAATGCCGAGTCAGTGTCCCTCAAGGTTCGGTCCTTAGACCAATCTTTTACTTTTAAGGTGTCGTTGCGCTGCTATAGATCAACAGCGATCAAACCGGATACCGATTCGTGAGATTAATGCCAGGACTTATATAGAAAACCTGCTACGGTCACACTTTCACTGTGAAATAGTGTGCTTCCTATCGTTTTTTTCATACATTTTAAAATTTAGTATTAAGTATTTCACAGTGACAGATCCATTGTAACAGTGCTATGCTACCTCAAAAAGTATGCAAACTGCATATATCTCGTGCAAATTTCGTATGGGAAAGTTCTGCCCAAGTATCTTGGTATCACTCTTGAGAATGAGATAGCTTTAATGTCATATACATGTTTGGTATTTTATTTTGAAACACTAATGATAAAAACGCGTATTCCTAATAGGCAACTTTATTTCACATTGTCAACAACACACTTACGATAAACATTTTCCAATTTTAAACTTCCGATAAGTCTGTAGGTGCAATTAAAACGTTTATTGAGCATTAAATGCCTGTATATGTTGTACATTACATATTTCTTCTTGTTTAAACCTATCCTGAAGCAAATCGTTATTGGCGAGTATACTACATATGAAGTAACATGAATATCCAAAGTATACGAAAAATAACCGCGGTAATAGACAATTTTGTTAATGTGACAAAAGATAGTATATTTTCTGCAACAGCAACGTAGTATTATATTTAATACTCAACTCTATTAAATTGACATTTTGGTAACAATTCCATGGCATTTGCAGCTACACTTACACATATTTAAAAAGAATACTGCATTTCGAGATCAGAAAAATCCGTCTCACGTTAAATAAATAAAATCACTAGATAGTCGTCAAAAAAACCTGCTGCAAATACTATGAAACAAGCATAAGATTTGAATTCTCTAATTTAAGATCTACATTTTTCTAGACTAATGAACATGTGGAGGACTGCTAGGTCTGGAACCAACTGTGAAGTCCTTGTATTGAGAAAATACACAGATCTGAAAGAGAAACGGCATTAAGAATCAATAACATAGAGACACACGAATCAGGGGGTAAATTGTTGAGTGCAGTAGATGCTGCCCTTAGGGATGCTCTCACATTTTGACACCTGTTGATGTTTATCAAACAAGTTTGTGACTGCATCTATGTATTTTCTGCAAAATAATGTTCCCAGGTTTTTCATACCCTTAAATGTTTCATCACCAACTTGATCTTTAAAAATGAGACTGATGGGCAACGGCGAGACTGCCGCATTTTTTCTCAAAAGAATGACTCGGGAAGCGACTCTTCTATCAATGTATACAAGGTGTTCCAACAAAAATGGAAAGTAACACTGGAAATGATACCAAAAATCTGTTTTCATGACAACCTTGATATATTACTAGCGCATATTTTAAAATTATTTTAATATATACAAGTATTCCATAAATTCGCGCCATAGCAAACATGTATTTTTTTCTTAACTTTTACACAAAAAGTATGATATAACATATTTTTATATTTATATAAAAATATTTAGATAAATTCATTATTGGTTCTAAGCTCATCTGAAAGAAATGCCAAAATATCTTTTTATTTATACAGGGTGTCTCAAAACTTTATGTCAGTTCACCAAATAAACTATTTAACGATATAGAAATATACAGGGTGTTCCATTTGAAATTTTTGAGATAACGTACCTTTAGCGTTCTGAGATACCCTGTATAAATAGAAATTTCAGCATTTTTTCCAGATCAGCTGAAAATCAATGATAATAAAAATTTTGTAAACAAAAAATGTTATATGATATCAAACTTCTTATTTTTAGAAGTTCAAATATGCAATAAAATATAGGCTGATCTATTTGAAAAAAAATATGTTTGCTATGGCACGAAGTTATGGAACACCCTGTATATATTCAAATAATTAAAAAAACAGGTTTTTAATATCTTTCCATTTTCATTGGGACACCCTGTGCAATTCAAAAGGCAATAGAACCATGCCCACTTTATATCAGTTATTCTACTTCCTCATTTCAAGAATAGACTTCCTGGTGTTGTGAATATAATAATAATAATATGTGAGCTGTATTTGAAATAGATTTGAATTTGAGAGAGTCTACTTTTTGATGTTTTCATTAATAACAATGTCTCTGATTTCTGTCTGTCTGTTTGTCATCTGTTCTCTGTTTAGTTGCATATTTGGTCCTTCTTTGGCAGTCTTTAATGGAAGTTTTGACTCAGGATCACTAAAGTATGGTAAGACTGAAGAGCCTTTACAGTGTTTGAGAATCAGTCAAGGAGGTAGAGCAGATGATAACTTTAAACTGTTTACCTTATCTTTGAGTTGCTGACACAACTGTAATCCAACAGTAAACAGCACTAACACTTCATTCAGCCAAGGAACAGAGCATTCTGCAGGTGTTGGGTCTGGAGTCATCACACCTTGGTTGTTCATCAGCTGATACATCACAAACACCAGTTTGTGACTTTGGATGTAAAAACTTATTGCCAGATCTTCAGCCAATGGTGGCTGCAAGGATTTCTAAAAACATTGCAATAGGCATATATTGTATATATAAAAAATAAAAATTCTAGGTTGTTTTAGCATGAGATCATATTGACAAAACTGTTGCTGGCCAAAGCTGTTTTTGATCACTAATCTCTCAATCAACACATTTGAATATTTTATTTTATATAAATTATGATACATGTGATCCCTTTGGCTTATACATGAACAATAAAAAATATATATGCTTCTGAAGAGTAAAAAATGAGGAAAAGGGTAAAGGGCATAGCATACGACTTCTTTACAACCTATTATTATTATTATTATGGGATTCCATCCCAAGCTAAATTCTGTAGAACAGTATAAGTCATATCTGAAGTCTGAAGTTGTCCTTCAGAATCAAGCTCAACATCCCAAGATCACCTACGAGGGATGTCTTTTAAGTTTTGCATATAGAAACATAAGTAGGCTGCGCGGATCGAACGTCACTCTTTAGTAAACTTAAATTCAAAGTTTCACAACAGAGCAGTGTTCTCGCTACAGTGAATTTTTCAGTGTCAATAAGTCATGAGAAAAATGGAACTCAACCGAGAAAATTTTCGTGCCATAATTTATTACAACTTTCAGAGACAATTATCGCAACAAGAATGCCTTGCTGAGTTACTGTCTGTTTTCGGCAACGAAGCGCCACATCAGTCGACAATTTCCCGTTGGTATGGAGAATTCAAACGTGGACGAGTGAGTCTTAGCGACGATCCCAGGGTGGGTGCACCAAAAACGGCAGTCACCCAGGAAAACGTCGATGCTGTGCGCAAACTCATCATTGAAGATAGACATGTGACATATCGCGAGATTGAGGCGTCCTTGAAGATCTCAAAGAGCTCAATTAAAAAAATTCCACATGAAGAATTAGGAGTAAGAAAATTAGTTTCTCGTTGGATACCCCACCTGTTGACTGAAGAGCAGAAAGCAGCCAGGGTTAATTGGTGTCAAAAAACGCTTGACCGTTTCAATTCCGGAAACTCAAAAAATGTGTACACCATTGTTAGTGGTGATGAATCGTGGATTTACTGTTATGTACCAGAAAATAAACGACAGTCGGCTATTTGGGTGTTCCAAGGTGAAGAAAAGCCAACAAAAGTCATCCGTTCTCGAAGTGTTTCGAAAAAGATGGTCGCGACATTTGTGTCAAAAGCGGGTCATATTGCAACAATTCCTCTTAATGAGCAAAGAACTGTTACTGCGGATTGGTATACCACCATTTGTTTGCCAAAAGTCATCACCGAGTTTCGAAAAATCAACCCCGGAAGAAGAATCATCCTCCACCAAGACAATGCAAGCTCGCACACAGCCCAAAAAACAAGGCAGTATTTAACGGAAGAAAACGTGGAATTATTGGACCATCCTCCATATAATCCCGATCTAAGTCTTAACGATTTCTTTACTTTCCCGAAAATTAAAAACAGACTGCGTGGTCAAAGGTTCCAGTCACCAGAACAAGCAGTTGCCGCATTCAAAAATGCCGTTTTGGATCTGCCAGGAAATGAGTGGAATAAGTGCTTCGAAAATTGGTTCGAGCGCATGCAGATTAATATTAATCTTCGTGGAGAATACTTCGAAAAGCAATAAAGTCATTTAAAACTACCTACCATGTTGTTTTATTTCCATATGCAAAACTTAAAAGACATCCCTCGTACAGTTAGCTGTGATGAAGACATAGAATTTCTGTACCATCTGAAGATAATGATTTTTCAGTACTGTCATCAATTTAGAAAGCAAGGGTGATCAAGACAAATCAATTGTTTCTGCTTACCATATTGCGACTTCTAAGTAGATCATAAATGGTTTTCTTTCGAGGCACAATTAGACTAGTCCTGCCTTTTTGCAGACTGGTGAGTATATTGCCTAATATATGGAGGACCTCATCTGAGGACCTGGAAGCAAAATATTGTAAGAAATAAACTACATTTGCATATGTCCCAGTCTGATAAAGGAGCAAATACGTTTTTTTCACTACTAACACAAGAAATCACTGTTATTGACCTCAATGCCTTACTGAGGCATAGCATGTGTCTCCATTGGCAAATAATGAAAACAAAAAAAACACTTCCCATCAATTTCATTGTGTCAAACTGACAACTAGACTTTATATTTATATTTTGAAATATTTTATAATGATTGAGGAATAAGCAATAGTATCATAGAGAGTATAGCTCATCCAGTTCTTCTTCCTGAATACCCCAATACTCTACATTATATTTGAAATTGAGTTTCAATGTTAACAAAAAGAAAACATTTGAACCTTACTCAAATTGACTATTGCCTTCATAAGTCTCAGTTTGTCAGTTTGATACCAGGTAACTCGATATTTTAAAGTATTTGTCAAATGAATTGGAAATGTCATGATTGTGATGTAATATCAAATATTTCTTCAATTATGATGTTAGAAGTGAAACAATTCTATTTTTACATTGCTTGGGCAGGCCAATATTGAAACAATCCAATTATATACTTAAGCACTACCTTCTCAAACTATTAAGCTTACTTAAACTTATAATGTTTTCCAACATCATCAATGTGGTAAATTGCCTGCTGTAGATGATTTGCTGCATCTTGGACCTGTTGCAGTTTCCATGGATTGTCACTGTTTATGGTAGTCTTTACCATACTTGTTGTATTTTGCCTTGTTACCTTAAAATTTATGTCCTGGAAAATAGAAATGTATCCATATTATTAAGGATTAGTATCACTGAAAAGAATGATTCAATAAAAATAAAACTATGTGTAAGTACCAATGATGAAAAGCATCAAACAGTTGAACCCATCAATCAAAAAATTGTTTGTCACCTGTATTGTTATGGTAAGGGTAGATGTATGCATATGGCTTTGTGCTATAAATTTGTAAACACTTACTGCATGTGTAATACTGTCTCCTGTAAGAGTAACAACAACTTTAAGTTGATCTGCCGGAACTGAAAGAACAAACTTATCTTGTTTGCTTGAGTTGTCATGCCCATAAAGTGCCACTGGGAATCTTCTAGCACATTCCTAAAAACTCTATTTAGAATCTCTACTTTTATAAATATGAGACATTACTAACCACAAGTATTTGATGAATTTGATCAAGCCCTTTGTGTACTTCCTGATTAAGCACCCATTCGAATTCCTTTTGCTGAAAAATACAAGTCGTAAATCTTAGCCTATTTCCAGAGCCTTTAGCTTACCAAGTTTGTGGCCTCCTCTTTCTCGTAATCCACCATCATGAGCAGAGTATTTTCGAGCGCCGTATCAAATTTTGATATAATTGCCCCCTGATCCCATGAATAATTTAATCGATAAGCACAATTTTAAAGTACTTCATCTTATTATAAACTTGACGTTTATTTGTTAATTTGTTGACATTTTTTGAAGTACATGTCAAGTTGACATTTCTAACCAAAGTAAAAGCGTGCCATCTGTTGAACGCAGATGAAAGTACGTAGAAAATTCTTTAGACCTCCTTAGAAAGAAACCCGTATAAGGTAAAATCTATCGGAAGGCATCTCGAAATATACGTCAGGGTACCCATGAGTCAGCTAAAGGCACTGATTTATGATATCACACTATTAATAATATAATTGTTACAAGAATGCACATAAAAAATTATTAATTCCAATGTTATTACATATTGTCATAGGTAGCGCCTCGTATAAATATGAGAAATAAGAGCCATCTGTGGAAGAAAGTATGAACCAAAGAGGGTGGTCAATTTGTCAAAAATATAAACAAAAAAGAGGTGTGACAGCTTTGAAATCTCGTTTATTAATTTCTTCTATTTTTTCTGTATTTATATCTCTGTTGAAGTGAATATCAGTGAAACATGTCGCAAAACATACTTCTAACAGGTAAAAATCTTTCACTTTTTCCTTCCTACTTAGTATACATTTTGTTATATAAAAAATTACGCGCATTTACCCTGGCATTATTAGTTGATTAAAATTAATGGGTCAATTAACTTGTTTTATTAGGTAACTTGGACATGCTGCACAGCCTTTACGATTTCAAAGCGACATATGCCAAAACCCTAAGCTTTAAATGTAACGAATATTTTCTATTGTACCAAACAAATACTAAACACAAAAACTGGTGGGAAGTAATCAATGAAAGGGGTGAAATGGGGTACATACCCTCAAACTACGTGGAGACAGTTACCGTGAACCCCTCATTCTACCTACAATTTCTAGAAAACTGCCTGAGTAGGCTTAAAAATGGTGTGACATCTGATTGTAACATTGGTGATAGGAAAGACGTGATCCAGAGGCTAAAACACCTCAAAAAACAAATTGAGCACCATCCAGAGATTTGCAGAAATTCCATAGGCTCTAATGATGATATACCACCACTCTTGTTCAAAAACTCTGAGGGTAGGCTTGAATCTGTCAAGTCTACAACAAGCACCTCAAATTCCTCCAATATATCAGATTTAAGGAGCTCAAACTCAGGAATGGACGAAGAACCTATTAAACCAGTACAGAAAGCGTTTAATAAGTCAGTTGTTCAGAAAAGCATTGAAAACATTCATCAAGAAATAAAATCGGAACTGTTGAACGATAAGAATAAGTCAGAGTCAAATCTTTCAGTGTCTACATCGACACATAGTGCTCCAGCAATAACGCATCAATCTGTGTATGACCTAGTTGAAAGTGTTAGGATAAACACTCAATTGTCTCATGAGATGTCTCGACTTGCGGTAGTCACAGTGATACAAGGACTACATGAATTATTGCCAGCTTCAGTATTTCCATATCTCAGCACTATTTTATCTCACTCACAAACATCCTTGGTGGATGATGCTCATATAGATCAGACTCATGATGCAAGTAGGCTGAAGATTATATTCAATGAGTTGACTTCATGTAAGGAGGACTCACAACAGAGGAACTGGATGCTACATGAAGATGAAGGGGTTATCAAAGAATATATTTTAGAGCTTATCTCTATCCTAGTGAGTATTAGTAGCATCAACATTGTTATATCTAATTTAGTGGTTTTCAAGATATTAAATTTTGCAATTGAATAGTACAAGCTCCATCAAGACCACTTATAATCAACATCACTGAATTTGCCAGTGTCAAAAAATTTTAACCCCTCTAGAGTCTTTTAGGTATGGTCAACTCAAGAGACATGTTCTGAAATTGTTCATTTTCTTTCTTAATTCCACCACTCCCAGAGCAGTTCTTGAAAACCCCTTATTATGAAAATGGATTTTAAAAAGATACTTTTCATATTAGGGAGGGGTTACTGGACCAAATCTTAAAACCCATGAAATTTTTTCATCCTGAGTACTGTAGTATCTTTATTGGAAGATTTTATCAGAATCTGAGTGGTTCTTTAGGGCCTCAGTAATTCCCAGACTGACTATGACCACTTGCATTCAGATTGACAAATGAGTGACATTGTTTTTCTTAAAGTGATTTTAGTAACTTGTTGTAATAATTTTCTCATTGAAAATGGTCTTAACATGTTGTTCTGTTCTGAGTCACTGTGACAATACTCAAGACTAAATTTAAAAATTATGAAAATGCAATTAAAGGCACTATCTCACGCACCTTTTATTGGTATTGCCGTAATGACGCGTACAATTTTCGTGTGCAAACAATTTCAGAGTTAAACCATTGAGATGACTACTGAGTCAGCCCACTTGACTCCACTTGTTTGCCGCATATATCATGAAAGCGAAAATTATTCTGTTTCCATGCTAAAAGCAGTACGGACGGGTGTGACACAATTTTTAGGCTTTAGTATAGTTTCCAACCACAGAAATTCTACGCACCTATTAGACAAATCTCACATATCATTGGTTTCTCTGCACATTTTACACTTTTTTCCCACAATCGTTGAAATATTTTAGGGCTCACAGGACACCCACTTTTTGTTGGAGTTCAACCAATTTTATAAAATAGTTGGTGTTAGTTAGTTTAAAGATTATGTTTTTTAGTCTTCTCCACCCTCAAAACCGTCAATTTTACTCAGTTTTGGTAATTTTTTCCTCTGAAAAATTTCTCATTATCTTCGAAAGCCTATGCATGTGGTCACTCTGTCTGTCGTGAAACGTTACAGTCTGAGATTTGTATTGTTTTGCCTTTTTAGTCAAATGCAGATGCTAGCATATCTAGGCATGTGATTTCATCAGATCAGTACCATGTGATAACAACTTTGATAGACTATTATCAAATGGAAGTGAGATGGTCTATACGGCAGCTACTGTTACAAGCATTTGGTGTTTTATGTAGCCTGGATAAAACTGTCATCAACATTATGTTGAACTCTGTCCTTCCATGCGAACTTGCCAGGTAATATAGAATTATAGACCACACAATCATTACTGGGAGAGAACATACGAGGTCTGTAAATTAATGAGACTTGCAACATAGAGTTTGATGTGGCAACACTGGAAGCGCTGGGCTTGGAAAGGAGACAGGGGAACATGTGTTCCTCCTTCAGTACAAGTTTGAACTCACTCGAGTCATTTGATTGTCTGTAGTGATTTTTTTGGAACAGTTTGCTCTATTGTGTTTAAAAAAATGATTGACATCAATTTCGAACAATGGTGTGCTATCAGGTTTTGCTTCAGACTTGAGCACAGTGCAATGGAAACTCTTGCTAAACTTTAGTAGGGCTTCGGAGATAGTGTTTTGTTAAGTGTCCCGGTTTTTGGGTGGTTTAAGGCATTTTCAGAAGGGACAGAGTTGCGCGTTCAGATCTTCGGTTGACAGTCAGATCGGGGAAGAGTTAAATTTGACTTACGCCACAGCAATGTCAATAAACGAATTTTTGGACAGTGAAAATATTCATGTAGCTCCTCAGCCTCGTTATTCGCATTATTTGAGTCTTTTTCCTCTTCCCGACGTTGACAAATCACCTCAAGGGAACTCATTTTGGAACAGTCGAAGGCTATTCCAGAGTTATAGCACTACTTTGAGGAGTGGAAGAATGGTCTCCGGCGCTGTGTGGCCTCAAAAGGAAGTTTTGTTGAGAGTAGCAGTATAAAATTGTAATTATATTTGAATAAAAAAAACAGTCGTATCACTTAATTTACAGACTTCGTATCTCGTATTAATTGAACTCTTGAAAACAATGCCTTTCTTTTCAGGGATATGCTAACTAACCCCAGAAACATTCCAAAATTAAACTATTCATCACTTCTCCTAACTATGGTGTTTTCAATGGGAGAACAAATGCCTGTTACTCATTTTGGTAATAATACCATCAAGATTAACTGGAGAAAATTAAAAATTGTGTCATTATAGATTTACTGGGAAAACGATTTCTTTCTTTCATCCTTGACAACATTGAATATCCACCTGATACGGATCTGGATGAGCAGATTCCAGACCTGTTCCTGAATCTTATAATATCATTCAACCTACAGTTCACCGAGGAATCTGAAAATCCAATATTAGCCGCTTTAGAAGAAAGAGATGTGGCAAAAACATTCACCGAAAAAATTCTGTTGCTTATCAATAGAGAAGGTAAGGTGAATCGGCTTTATTTTCTTTTGAAATCATTTGGACATTAACAGTTCATACAGTGCTTTTCAAACCCCCACCCCAACTTATTAATTGAAAGGGTCAAGTTTCGCGCTGGTCAGATTCTACAGTTATACAATCTAGAATAATATTTTTTTGTTCCAGAGGATCCTGTAAGGATATTTGACCATGAACCAGCGCCTCCACATTCCTTGCTTAAACTGTTCATAGATCTATTCAGCAGAAAATGTACAGCTGACCTCTTTTATACAAATGACATTAAAGTTTTGATAGATATTGTTGTGAGGAATATATCTGATCTTTCGGCCGGTGATACGGTGAGCTATTGTGTGAATTTTTTCTCGATACTTAATCACGTTTTGACGTCTGCTGAGGTGAATAGCTGATCAGCAAGTCAAATCGTTGTATTAAAATCTGTACTGTTGACATTATTCTGGTGAAACTCATCACTATACTCACTCAAATACCCATAAAAATAATTTTTTATGTGACGGGAAAAAAGTTTGAAATTTTATCTCTGTTGATAGGTAACAAAACACTTTTTATGAAATTAATTTTTTTCCCGGGAAAAAAATGAGTACTTTTTCCTGGATATTGTATAAACGACTTAGCTGGCAATAATTTTTGTGACGCTGCTTTGGCTACTTCTAATTCCGCTGGAGTCAAAGAAAACTCGGAATCAGACATTTTCTACATTATAGTATTGAAAATAACTTCTAAACAACCACTAAGTTCACAATTTTTAAATCAAATCACAAAATTAAATTGACAGCTATTTGATTACTTTAAAAGTTTCCTTAGCCACCAAGGTCTAATTGTCTCTATAAGTACAAATTGAAACTTCACATTGATAATTTTCTGACTTAAATATTGTAATAATATAATTTTTCCAGTCACAG